GTATATAGTTAAAATTACGTGTTTTAATATCGATATCGATACTCTAACAATGGACATACAATGGACAACTACTCAAGAAAGGACTGAATTTTCTCTTGAAAGCGCCCTAAGAGTAGAGTGAACTATGTTTTTCAGCATTGTGCAATAATAACAAATACCGCCATTCTAGATGGTAGTAATCATACACTCGTTATGCTGCATGACCATGTCCCTGATATAAAACAAAAGTGCCTTGCGGTATTCCTTTGTGTTTGCCTGTGACCTCTTATGATTTTAAGAAAGCTGACAATTAAGAACTTAATATATTCTGTTCATTTAACAATAAATAATACAAATTACATTTTTTTATAAAAATATGCAAGGTATTTATAAATACTGAAATATATATTGTTTATTATTAAACCCCGTAATTGTTAAATGACAGACACTGTGGGTTATATTGAGTTAGCACCTTCATAATTTATGATTTATAAAAATTTATTATTACTTTACGACCATTTTGGTTATATAAGGTTGGATATGACCAACACTGAATATCTATCGGTTATAGAAATTGAAAATTCCAGAATAAAGGCTTATAATTTGACATTTGTTATATATCCTAAAACCTTTAAAATCCAGGTTACAAAAAAACGTTATGACTTACCTTCGATATTTAATCTGGTTTTTTATCATTACTTTGCTTTACGGGAATGTAAATTCTGCAGAAATCAGCCTCCGCTGTCTTGTTCTAATTGAAGGACGTATTCCGTCATCCCAAAGCGTTACAATTATCGATATTTCCAACAATCAACGTGTCGACTACCTAAAGCATCAAATCAAACGAAAATGGCCGAGTCTCCAAGAGTATGATCCCTCTCAAATCACATTACACAGGATGACGGAGGGAATCACTTTGAAGAAAGTGGTCAGTTTCTATAATGATAACACTCATAAAGGAACAGAAATGTTTCCAATAGATTCAATCGCTGTTTATTTTCCCGATACACCGTCAGATATTTGCGAAAATTGCATTGATGTCGCAGTGTACGTAAGAGGAGAACCAAAGAGGGTTGAACTATAGTACAATATTTGTATAATAGGTATCCAAAGTGACGTGTTATATGATTTAGATATTTAGCGATTTAATGTTTTAGCATTCTGTGTTTGTGTTTTAGTGATTTAGTAATTTTAAAGAGTTAGAATTTATTTTGTACGTCGTAAAATAAAAAATAAATAAGCGTTTACTGCTTACTCTTTAAATATCGTTAAAATTTTTTTTTCTCATTTAATTATCACAGTATTATAAATCTTCACTTTTTTTGCTCGTGAATTTTTAAATAAATACTAGAACATATGGGTTGAGTCAATAGAAACCAAGCAAATATTTTTTAATAAGTTTTTTTTAAATTTTAAATAAGAATAGCTTAACAAAAACTTGATCAAATTCAATAAAAATTTTTTTTAATTAATTCTACAAGTTTGTAAAAATTATTTAAAAAATTTTTATTAAATTTGGTCACGTTATTCTTGTTTAAAGTTATAAAAAAAATTTATTATAAAAATTTACTTGATCTCTATTGACTCACCCCCATATACCAAAGAATAAATAATGATGAGAAAATTGACGAACCGGCGCTATTACGTACAAAGGTCAGTAATTTATTTGAAGATAGAGATAAGGCAAAACCAATGAAAGATGTACATTCGAATTTTATAAAATTTCTATATCCTAATGTCAATAAGAAACTTTCGTAAGACAATCTGGTGTTAAAAAAAAGGCATAAATTCCCAGTCCGATCTTCAAAACAAAACTTCGTGTTAAAATATTAATTTGTTTTATCTATTTATGATTTTTATTTATTTTTTAGATTTGAAGACATCCTGACAGTTAGCTGTCCAAATTCGATCAAGAAAAAAAACTTTTTTTATCTGAATTCTGTTTTCGCTCAAAGCTTAAAAAAACTCAAAACATCTATTATAATAAAATAGAGATGCGTCAAATTTTTTTGTTTTAAGATATCTTAAAAATCTATTTAAATTCAATGGAAATCTGTCTTACATAAATTCTATGAAGCTTATAAAATTACCAATTACTGTACGCATCCTGGGTTATTCCTTGGCATTCTATCAACAATTATGTGAATTAAGCGATTAAAAATTTAATTTTATCGATATATCTTTTTATTAAAGCATATATACTGTACTTCAAAAGCTCTCCAACCAGTACGCTCGTAACATTCCGAAAGTTACCAATGCTCAGTCCATATTTTAGTTTTTGGGGGCTAATTATTTAGTTTTAATATAATTCACCACTTTCTGTGGTATCCTGCGGTTGCATAAACAAACTCTATAATATAGACCTACCTACCTCTGTTTTATGTTTTATTACGTGAAACACCAAAAATTAGAAAAAAAACCAATCATTATTTTATTCAACTCTGTTTATATTCCACGTCATAACACTTTCAACATATCGATTCTCCATCTTATTGTCAGACTAATACGGCAATATTTCATACAAATAAACTACTTAACCAATTACGATTAGTCAAAGTACGTATATCGATTTTTGTCCATACCTGATTCAAAAATCATTATTAAATGATAACACAACCGTTAAAAAAAGCAAATCATAACAATAAAGTATCGTAAATTTATAAAACTTGATCCGTAAATATCAATATACATTGCTTATATTTTATTAAAAGTTCACACACGTATCGATATCGATATTAAAACACGTAATTTTAACTATATACCTGGCAAAGAAATTGCCACATGCGCAGGTCTAGCTTAATCAAATTAAATTGATTAATTGATGGATTTAATGATTAATCCCGATTCCGATTAAATTATATCATATGAGCAGGTTATCAACGATATATATATAACATACTAATAACTAAAATTGAGTGTTAAATTGACGCTGTTCTCCTGAACAATAATAACCGTAGTGTAAATAATTGTACTAAAAAAATGGAAATGTTTCAATTTCCTTCAAAGAACAAAGATAAAAAATTTATTAATACATTTTTAAGACAATGCCTTGAAAGAACGGAATTAGAGCAGGAAAAGATCCTTAATGAGCTTTCAAAGTGTTTATGCGATTCTCCTAATGATTACCTACCATTATTAGAAACTCTAGTTTCTTGTCTTCATTCACGAAATCCTCAGCATCTTAATTTTGTATCATTATTAATACTTATAGTCATTGTGCCGAATTTACAATATCATTCAGATATTCTTAGCTTTGGAGTGCTTCTCTCCAGATGCATTGAACTCTTATGGAATACTCAAGACATCCCTCTCGTTATCTCGACAACAAAACGCTTATTCAGTGCAATTGTAGATATAAATGGCGTCTTAGGTGTTTTGATATCTGAGTTACCTGGTAACCGCTGTCTTAAACGAATTTTATTTAGTCATAAGATAATAAACCGAATCGAAAGAGATGAGTTACTTAAAGCGGTGGAAACGATTGAAGTCCTCATAGACAAATGTTCTGAACACGATTGTTCATCTTTGATAGAAATATTAAAAGACCGCAAAAGTACAGAACAGCAGAAGAAAGATTCATTTAGAGTAAGCATATGACTGTAATTTTGGTTCTAATAGCATCCTGCCGAAAAGATATATTTACAAAATTATAATACGCTCTACATATTTAGGATTTAATAGAATCCCTACAATGTCTCAAGTGCCATAAGAATGCACTTATAAACTTTTGCCCTGATAAATATTCTTTACCTCCTGAGGAAGAAATGAATATTAAAGCACCTAACCGTCTTTTTAAACTTCCATTCGAATTTGATGATAATGATAGATTAGGACCATGGGACGTGCTTCTTAGTGAAAATGCCATAAAAGATATTCAGAAATTAGAATCTAATATGGTTAATGCAGTTATGAATAAACTCGGTCAGATATCATCCGGAAAGTGGAATAAATATGGATTTCATTGCATAAATGATCATAATATTCCTGTATATATAGTTGAGGTCCGCAATAATGTAATGAGTCTGAAAATTCTTTGGCAGGTTGATTATGGATTTTCCATCCGTATATACAAATTTACACAACTTGTAAAGGTTTGGGCAATTACCAAAAAAGTTGATGAATTATTGGAGATCCTTGCATTAGCGCATGAATGTTATACTAAAGAGCACAGTGACAAATGTATACACAGACAAATTAGTCAAGACGGGTAGTAATTTGCCTATGAGTTTTGAAGGCAAGGAGACAACAAAGTCTTCTGAGTATGGACTGCGTGACCCACAGCTGGATGATGAAAAACTAATAGAAATTCACAAGATGCTAGTTACAAATAAGTTTACACCTATATCAAAGGTAGATTATGTACAAATAAAATATCAAACAACAAGCACACTTGATAGATATTATAACGATACTTTTTTTACAGAAATTTTTTCGGTCACTTGCTAATGGTGGTTCTGATTTCACATTTCAAGTATCCAAGATCGAGTATGAGTTCATAAACCATCCTACTTCGGCAATTGTCATTGGCCGATCTGGTTAGTGGTTTAATTTCAAATTATCATTGCTTAGTAAAAGCTAATTGACATCTTTTTATACTTCGAATACTTAGGGACCGGAAAGACAACAAGCATCGTGTTTAGGTTGGTTGCCTCATATATGGCAAATAAGAAGAGACAAATATTTATTACTGTGAGTGATAATTTGTGCCGTTTGGTAAGGAAATATTTTAATCGACTTAAAGAGTCGGTTATGCTCGCAAACATGGGTTATAAAACTGCGATAAAAATGATGAGCAACATCTAGATGAGAATAAAATTCCAAATACATTCCGCGATTTGCGGGATGAGCATTTTCCTCTGTTCATTACTTATAAAAAATTCTTCTTGGAACTTTTGAAATTGATATTCAAAAGCTGATTAAGCAACAAAAATTCGATACTGACAGTGAAGAAGAGTTCTGTTATTCATCCAATTCTTCTAACACGTTCGACCCACACTTAGTGGATTATCGAGTCTTTACAATGAAGTATTGGCCTCATTTAGGTGATCTTTATAAACAGAAGTTGGATTGCGAGTTGGTCTATTCTGAATTTCTGTTATAAGAGTAAGTAACAATAAGTAAATCTATAATATAGATAGTTTATTTGAAATTTGCTTTGATTCTTTCTTAAGGGAACGGATCCCGAAATCGACTATTTATCAAGGGAGGAATATAGGAATATTAGCATCAAGAGATATCCAACATTTTGTCACAATCGTGACAAGGTTTACGATTTATTTTTGCGATATAATGAAATGAAATCACGAAATGGTGACTATGACTCAACAGATAGGTAAGGAAATTGATAAATCCACTTTAATATTGGACAGAATTTCGTAAAGATCCCAAATTTTTTTTTTTGTTGTAGAACATTATATATCTTGCAAATTAATGAAGTATACATAGACGAGTGCCAGGACAATCAGATTGTGGATATTGCACTTATCCTAAAACTTTTCGATAATGCGAATGGCATATTTTTAGCTGGAGATGTAGCACAGTGCATTGCACGTGGATCTTCTTTCAGGTTTCAAAGTATGTATACTGTAATCAGTTTTTTTATCAGCAATAATTTTTATTATTATAATAACAAATTTTTTTATTTTTTTAAATTTAGGCGTACGTTCTTTGATGTATACATGTGAACTTGATCGGTTTGAGCGATCTCTGACTAATTATAATCGACGTGACACTATAAATCTGAAACAGTTCGAACTAAATATTAATTATCGCTCTCACAATCAAATCCTTCAGCTCACTTCGTCAGTAATTGATCTTATCTGGTATTTTTTTCCTGATTCAATCGATAAACTATCATACGAACGTAGTGAGGTTGGAGGTCCGAAACCTGTAGTCTTTAGTGAAGTTCAGGCTAAAGACCTATTTGATACCTTTTATGTAGATAAGCAGGGAGAGCATGTAGCAAATCATATAGAATTTGGAGCTAGGCAAATTATTATTGTACGTGACGACGAAGCTAAACAACACGTTACCTAATAGGAGAAGCTGGAATAGTGGAAACAGTGTTTAATTGTAAAGGAATAGAGTTCGACGATGTTTTGATATATAATTTCTTTACAAATTCACCTGCATGTGAAAAGGTAATATCAAGTATTCCATTTTTTTTTTTAAAAAAAAATACTACTGTATAAAAATTATCAAACATTATTTCATTTAAGTGGAGAGTAATTCATTCCGCTTTAGATAAAGATAAAATAGGAATTCCTATTTTCTCTTATGAGAAGCATTGTATCCTGTGCTCTGAACACAAACAACTTTATGTCGCAGTTACTAGAGGCCGAAGGAGTGTTTGGATATTTGATGAAAATACTAAATATAGTGATTCTATGTGCGCGTATTGGGAGCAAAAAGAGCTTATAAGAATAAGTAAGGATGCGAAAGAAATTACCTTATTTGCTAAAGAAAGCAGCCCTCAAGAGTGGGACGAAGAGGGAAAGGAATTTTTAGACAAAAAGAATTTTAAGCAAGTAAAAATCATTTTGAAATATTGGTGCTAGATAATAAATTAAAATTGTTATTAAATTAAACAAACCTTTCCTAGGCCTCTTTCTGCTTTAAAAAAAGTGAAAATAAGAAGCTTCGTGATTTATCTGATGCATATCATCTCCAACAAATTGCTAGAGATTCTGTGAACTTTTCTGATAATGCAACAAAAAAAAAGAATTATACTCGCGCAGCTCAAGCCTTCAAAACATGCTCAGAGACGTTTTTAGAAGCTTCATGTTATGAGGTAAAAGAATCGTGACTTTTATTTATAGATAATTTGATAATTAAACTAAGAGTAAAATTCATCTAGGAAGGTGAAATATATGAAGAAGCTATTGATATTTATATCAAATTAGAAAATATGATTATGCTGCACGTTGCTATCACAAGAACAATAATTTGGAGAAAGCGGGTGAGTGTTTCGAAAAGGCAAATAAGTACACTGAAGCTATTCATGCCTATAAAAATGGTAAATTTTATAAAAAAGTAATCGATTTGATGAGAGGTAAAGTAAACCATTATTGTAATATAAATATTAGATTATTTAATATCAAATATAGTATTAACTGATGCACATTAAAATTATTGTATCAAGGAAAAAACACCAAATTAACAATGAGAAATTTAATCAAGTCATCCGTTTCATATATTTTCATTATCGTCGAGAGAAAAACGAAGAGATGTGCAAAAGAATCCTTTTGATTTTTGAAACACAAAATAAACGAGATAAACTTATAATAGAATATGCACGAGAGGAAGAGATTAAAGAAGCTAAAGAACTTCGATCGCGTGGAAAATTCGAAGAAGCTGCCAATATGTTTATAAATACTATCAAAAGTTATGATAATGTTACCGAATCATTACAGTGTCTTTTATATCTATGTAGAATATGTGCACTCAATGTGATAAATGATAGCGTAAATTATAATGCTTTTGAGGAGTTAAATAGATTTCATAAAAAAGCAGTTAATATTATTAATAAAGCAAAATCACATCAAGACACATCAGAAAAGCCTCAACAATGGGATAGCTTGATAGAAGAACTCCAGTTATACGAAGCTTATTTAAATAATAACGTTAATCAAGTATACGAGTATATTATACGTTTTAGGAATCGTGGAGATGCCATCACAGAGTTTCGCGCAATAACTATTTGGTTAAAAATTTCACAGCAAGAAATTTATGAAAAATACCAATATAGGTTAGAATGCCTGCTTAGATTATATGAAATATCGATTCTTTTCATGGTCCTCTATGATAGAGTAGGAAAAAATCTTAAAGATTTCGAAAACATTTTTGCTGTGAACGCTGGGAATGCAGATAATAATTTGGATAAATATCTCGCATTCTAGGTTAAATGAATGTAAAGGTTGGGAAAGTGGTTGATGAGAATTTTGAAAAAATTTTTGCTGTAAGCACTGTGAAAAATAATCCGGATAATCGGCAAATCTCATATGACAATCATAATTGTCATGTTTATAAAAAAAATATTATTTACCGTGCGATATCGAAATCTCTTTCCTTGTATATTCAAGGACACATTATAAAGACTCATGAGTATGGTAAAGAGATTCCGGCTATAGCTTTTGAAATATGCAGAAAATGTGCATCCTCGAGTATATAGGGTCTTTGCCTTGAATTTTTTTTTCTAAAAATAGATTTACTATCGCTATGTTTTTCTTAATAAAAATCTTGTGTAACAATGTCTCGTAGGGTCATTTTCAAGGCAAAGACCCCATATGTCGAAATAAGGATGAAAGAAGACATCATGTGAAACCAACACAATTAACTCTATATGATCGTTTGAAACTTGCATTTATTCAATATGCTGCAATACATCAATTGGACGTGATAAGAAAAGAGTTTAAAAAGTTTGAAAATTTTAATGTTTTGCGCAATTTTTTCAATGAGTTTGAAGAGTTTAATTCATTGAGAAAATTTTGGGAGAACAAACTGATTAGAAATCATTTTCGTTATCAGTCTTCACAACTAAGTTGTCCAGAAGTAACTGATTTGGTGATCTCTGAAGTTCGTGATAATAATATACTGTGTGACGGATTTGAAAATTTTGTACATGGAAAGATATATAACAAATTTAGAGACGATGACTTCAACGATTTTGCAATCTTATTAAAATACCTATTCGTTTCAATACAACTGCAAAGTGATAACATGGTTGAATTCTGCGAAAATGTTTCAGAAATTACATGCAATTTTGAAGCAATTGGAGAGAAACTTTCATCATTTATCTTGTCAATATGTTCTAAAGATACTGCTCATATCGCCTTTAACGGGATATTAGAGTTCATTGGATATATAGTTGAAAATAATAAATCGGTTAAGTTAGATTCCCCCGAAGCATTTAGTGATCTTACTTCACTCATAGAGCTCACAACTACTTTAATTGTTGCAAGTCAATTAAAAAATTCTGATTTTTGCTTTCCTCGAAGTTATTTATTCAACTATCTTAATCCTTTCAAAATTAACTTATTTTCAATTCAACATGAAGAAGATGAAAATGAATTCAGTATAAAAGATCATCTCGAAGAAATATTAAAACAAGTTGAAAAAATTTTTCATTTATTGATCCCCACAAAACCATTTTCCCCGACAATTATTCTTAGATTGATACAGTCCGACCTCTCTATAATCATTCACTTGGGATACAAAAAAGTGTGATTATAAAGAATTGTGACAACTACAGAGGTTAAATTTATTATGTTTAATAATAGTTTGTTTTTTAAACAATGCAATTATAAAGAAAATGTGCTTATATAGGAGGTGACTATAGAGAGGTTTGACTGTACAACATCTTGTTCTAATCGGCTTGAACGAACCAAAATTGATGCAAATTATCTCTGATATTTTTAATAATCTATCTGATAATCTTCATTCTGTTAAGTTTAAGAAATACTTTTTGAAGAGCAGTATAGAAAAGTTGGTTAGTATTCTAAACGATGATCTCGATGAAACAGAATGTGATTCTCTAATTATTGTCTATTATATGCATAGCACGTCAAAGTTTTCTGATTTAAAAGATAGGGTTGAAACAATTGCATACGAAGATGATGAATTCTATTCTCAGCTTGTCAGAGTTGCAAATTTATTCAATTACCAACAAGCCATTGATAAAATTCAGTGTTGTTCCGTGAGCAAAAGGAATTTCAACAACTTTATGACTCAATCTTTAATGAAATTAAAGAAACTAACATGTAGTTTTATGAGCATAAAACAATTATGAAATTTAAATTATGAAATTTAGATTATATTATAAATTTTACTGGTGAGATGCTAATATCTTCGGCATTATTACTTATATCTTTATATTTTGAATGATTTTCTTTACTAGTTACTATATGTCAAAGATATTTTTAAAATTTTACTTATAAATTAATCTTTTGTAAATTTTGGTACAATTCGCTTTAACAGACCTAATTTTGTCACTAAATGACGAGCTTTTTTTTTCAAGATTCATTTCCGTTATTTATTTTCACTTGAATTCAATTGGAGTAGTCTCACGTTGTGGCTCTAGGCACCTATACATTTAATTTACATGCGTACACAAAGCATTGCGTAATGGTCACGTGAAGAAAAAAAGAGAATCATTGCGAGAGAGAAATCTAGTTCAGAACGTAACTGGGTAGTTTGAGTCATTTTGTTCAAATTAATCAAAAACATCAGTTCTAAACTTCGAAGCGATAATAGTATCAGTTCTCTTCATTATCATATTTCGTTTATCGAAATTGCAATCAACTCCTTTCGACTCTCGTGACTGCCATAGTCTCTATGAGAAATTGCAGCACAGAATAATGCTGAAATATACAGAAATGTTAGAGTACGAGACCACACAAAACCGCACGTAAATCTACACAAGACATTACATATGAAAGCACGTTAACAAGTAAATAGATGTGGATTTTGTGCACACTGCACGTATTGGTATACACTTTTATGTGTTTTATCATGTATTGTCGCCGTGTAATAACGTATATCTTTATATATTTCACGTACTCTGTATTGTTTAGTGTATAAACAAGTATTATAATATATAATTTAGTTCCATAAGTTCAATAATTTATATTAAGTAAAATTTTTATCATTAAATATTTAAAGAATAATAAAGCTTTTTACTGAGATGCTTAAAACACAGAAAGAATCATAAAAAAAAAAAAAAAACACTGTAAGTGCCCTTGAAAATACTAAAAAATCTTTGAAAAATGCTATATAAATTAACAAAAGCGGTCTAAAAAACATCATCGAAAAAATGCTTATATGTAATCAAAAAATATTTCTGAAAAAAAAATAGCATAAACACCTAACATATTATTAAATAAATACGTCAAAATTATCAAACTTTATTAAAAAAAAACCATCCTAAACATTGCTAAAAGAATAAAAAAGTTTGTCAAAAACCACTGAAAGTATTAGTAAAAAACGTCATAAGCTTTCATTAAAAAAAAACATCAAAGTAATGCAAAATGCCTAAAAAATTAAAAGTTCATCGATATATGGGGCCTTTGCAGTAGAAAGGGCCGAAACTAGAGTTTGGAACCGGATTTGATCTTCGGATTTAAATCCGATTTCCTTCGGATTCGGATTAAATTCGAATATAAATCCGAACCTACCGAATCTGTACATTAATTTCCATTCTTAGAAATCAATATTAATAATTTTCTTTACGCCCTTGTGATGGTCTTTACGATACAATTATATTTCTGGAAAGCAATCAATTTTATCTTATCTTCGTGCCTTGTGGCCCTCAATGTTTTTTAGTCCTTTGCGAGAGCTAAGGCTCATATGGAAAATAATAAATTAACTTTTGGGCTTTAGCCTTTGCAATAAAATTCGTCTAAAAAGCCATCGAGTTTGGCTTTATGATCTCATGAACTTATTATATGTAATTGGTTCTCTTCGAGAACTAAAATTTGTATAGAAAGCAATAAATTAAATTGTAAACCTGTTAATACAATAAATGATTAGATCTCTGTAAGAACTGATGTTTATAAAAAAAAAATTAATTCATTCTTATTATTTCTCACAGAGAACTAAACCCATATGACAAGTTTACTAAGTAAATAATTAATGATTTTAATTATATAAATAATGTCGCATCGCAAACAAGAGACATGGATATACACAAAATGGCCTCTTTATCTGCTCCTTCTTCAGACCTTGATATTCATGAGCCTACTTCTGAAGTTGAGACGTCAACCTCAGCAAGTTCAAACTCTATAAACACTCGTAAAAAACGTAAAAGTAAAAATAATCAAAGTAACAGAATTAATAAAAGTCACATGACTTACTTTTTTTCTCGAGATCCTAATGACAATAATATCGCTTATTGCATGATATGTAAAGATCTCAGTAATACCAATAAAAAGCCTTATCCTTACAGTCGTAAAGGAGGTACGACTTCAAACATGGCTAGTCACTTACGGGAAAAACATGGTATAACGAAACAAAATTATCGAACATATTTAGATGCAAATAATGAAGTAAGAAATCGTGTATTTAATAATAATATTTGGTTATTGTTATAGTAATAAAGCCTTTCAATTTATATTAGCCAAAAGAAAATCAAGTATTTCTACCACAATGTAGTAAAACCCGCCAAGAAGTGTTGTCCCGCCTTTTAATTAAATTTATAATAAAATTCGTGCAGCCGTTATATATCCTTCAAGATAAGGATTTTCGTGAATTCGTTTGTGGTTGCGAGCCCGGATTTCGTATTCCATGCGACAAAACAGCAAAAAAGTTCATTTATGAAGCGTATTCATGGAGCATAAGCCAATTATGCAATTTACTTTCTAATACTGCTACTTCAGTTCACTTAACAACCGATCTTTGGACAGCTAGGAGCAACTACGGATATATTGGAGTAACGGCTACCTGGCTTAGTCCAGAATTTAAATTTTATGAGGTTTTACTTACTTGCAATGTTCTAGATCATCCACATACTGGCGAAATTATTAGCGAGGAGCTGTATCACGTTATTCAGCAATGGAATCTTACTGACAAAATCCTTACTATTACTACAGATAACAGCACGAACATGGTGAAATCTGTTAATCTTATTAAGAATTCCTTGTCACATGTTGAAAGACAACCTTGCGCAGCTCATACCTTGCAGTTATCCGTACATGAGGGTTTAAAACAATGTAAAAACATACATAGACGAATTAAGAGCTTGCAACTTTTTTTTAGGTCCCCAAAGCAGGCACAACGGCTAAGGGAGTCACAATGTAAAAGCCATATTACTGAAGATGGTGAAAATATTGAAATACAAATAAGTCCTTTAGATGTATTACTCGATACTAAAACCCGATGGAATTCCACTTTTATTGCATGGAAGCGACTTCTTGAATTACATAATTCAATTCGTCTAGTTTCAGCATCGTTGTTAGCAAAGCCTGACCGCACATCTCAAATAGAAGGAGAAAAGTTGGAAAAATTATGTTTAACAATCGAAGAAAAAATGTAAATATAAAAAATTTTTTATATATTAATTTTTATTATATAATTCGTTATTTAACGTACGTATTAAAAAAATTTGTTGCGGATGATATGCAAAAATCATGATTTAATTGATTATTTGCATAATTCGTAAATGTGTACAAGATTAGGTGTAATGTAACATGATCAGGAAGATTCAAGACAAACGTTCATTCTGCCAAAAATTGATCTTAGCTCAAAAATCAGCATAAGAAATCACCTTTTGTGCTCTAACAAAAGTTTTCGTTAACCAATTTTACTATTCAGATTGTTTTTCTCTAGATCCTAACTTTGACCCTAACCCTAACCTTAATGAATTTTAAGAAGTTAGTCTTCGCCGCCAACCTTGTACACATTTACGATATGCGTTAATAATAGATAATAATTACGTAATAAAAGATTTAAATCAGCTTGAAATTGGTTTAAATTAAGAATCAGTGATTTATATCATTGTGATTTAAACCATGTGCCATCCCTAATACGTACTCTGGACTTGACATAATAATGATAAATTTTATAAATCCCAATTAGAACTTATCGTTATAGTCCAATTTCCGTTAAATTTATTTAATTTATTGTTTTTTTTATTATTTCTTATTAATATTTTTTTTTTACAAATTTATTTTGTAATTGTTTTTATTTTTTTTTT